GTTACATTCAGCTTGTTTCAATTGGTTTACATCTTTTCCCCTAGAATTCAAAAGATGTTAAAAACAATTAGATGGTTTTAAGCATCAATATGTGGTTAAAAAACTCTCGAAGGTCCCTACATCGTCTAAGGCATGACTCTTTCCACGTCGCCCATCAGCGTAATTAAGTGTCGTGCTGGGCTCCAGCCTTTAGATTCCCATCAACCTGCCAACAAGAGTCATTTATTGGCAACTTTAAATATTCAGAGGCAAGATACATTTCCTTGGCACACAGCCACGCAGCAGAGCGGCACCCTCCCTCGAGCCGTAGACAGGACGGAAGTCAACTACGAGGTTTGGCCTGCAGACAAGGAAGCACGGTGAGTCCCGGGGCCCTCGCCGCGGGCGAGCTCCAGCGGTGGCTGTGGGCGTCTGGCAGGCGGGTTTCGGCCGCTGTCTGATCTTGCTGAGGGTTCGGTCACACGAGCAAGGGCACCTGCAGTGAAGAAAGAGTCCCCGTTACTCAGGGTCCGTCAGGAAGCGAAGGGCGCAGACGTCCGTGTGCTAAGGCGCTGTGGGCAGACCTGTCCTTACCACCTCACTCTCCTGATGCGCCGAGGTCTTACATGGGCACATCCTACTCATAGCTCCAAGGAGAACACTCAGAGGCACAAACAGGCTTCCATGTTTTCACGGCCTCAGTGTTGCTCAGGAGAGAAAGCACGGGACCCCTGAGGCATGTGCGATGCATCCGCAGGCCCTGCCGTGTCCCCGGAGCTGGCAGCTGCCCCGGCTCCAGCCCGCCCTGACTCTCTGCTAGTGGCCTGGGTCTTTCCTTCTCCTGAGCTGGCGTCCGGCTGTGATGTTTTTCTGTCTGTGCGACACGACTCCTCCTCCAGGAGCAAGCGTTCACACACCCTGGAAAGGCTCTCCTGCTCCACATCCTCAGCTGGCCAATCGGACCACCCCCCCTCTGCCATGCTGTCCCCACAACCCCGTCTCCCTCACCGCTGGAGTGGGGGTCCTGGGGCAGGGACCACGGCGGGCTCCCCACTACATCCTGGGTGGACAACATACGGGGTGCCGAGTATGTCGGGCAGGAATGGCCTCGTGTGTGACTGTTCCACTGGATGTGAAAGCTCAGACTTCCACCGTCTGCAACAGCTCAACTGCGGACAATCTGATCTGCAGCATTTTGAGGGACTCTTTCTGTGCCTCTAAAGGCAAAGGTTGACAGCATCCCTAAGAAAAGAGTTAGATGCGCGTGGAGCCGTGTGGAGTGACATGGGCATTCTTGGGACACTCAACGCATTCTAAACTGAATGGTGCCATCCGTGGACATCCCGCCCAACTTCTCAGAGATTGCTTTTAACACTAACAAGCACCACCCAGGGTATTCCGTGTGCTCACTCCATGTCCAGCGCTGGATGGGTCTTATCTCATTAAAACCTCAGCTCAACCAAATAAGCGATGAGTTATTGTGTTATTCTCATTATGGGTATTGCCTCAAATGTAAGGATGAGAAGACACAGGTTCAGGGGAGGTAACTTGCACCTGATCAAACACTCAGAAGGAGCAACCCCCACCAGGCCCACATGAGCAGAGAACGTGGTCCCAGACCGCTGACCCTCACGGCCCAGCCTGCCTTTTGTATGAGCAGCACACCAGCCCCCCAACCTCTCAGCTCCATTAGCCCCCTCCACACCAGCTTAGAAATGAAACACAGGACGAGAAGGGGCATCTGGGGGGTGCTGGACCGGAACCCACTCTGAGCCTCCTGAGTTTCAGCCCGTGGCACACACACACGATGGAGGGTCAGGAGGGGGCTGAAGACGCATGTCGGGTGCACAGGACGGGCCTGGGGTGCAGACAGGATTGGGGGCCGTGGCATCTGGATGGCGATGGGTCTGCCCTGGGCAGAGTGAGTAGATTTGGGAGAGAGAAGCTTGCAGAACTAGGTCCCGGGGCCGAGTGCAGGCTTGGGCAGAGGAAGAGGCGCCCAAAGGGGCTCCGAACACTTGGCCAGAGGCAGGAGACAATCGGTGAGGTGCGCGCAACAGCAGCCAGAGTTGCTAAGAGGTGCAGAAGACCCCCCAAAGGTGGGAGACACGGGTGAGCTCATTTTTAAAGAGTATATTAGTTACAGTTTCAAATAGGCTCCATGCATTTTTCTTCAAACTCTAGACACCTTTAGAGGGTCACATGCCATAATATATGCTGAGCGCATTTGTGCAAAGCCACCAGAAACCTCCACGGGTCACGCCTCGCAGACAGGTGCCATCTGAGCAGGCTTCTTAGAAAAAAAAAGCAGTTGGCCCTGCTGCCTGAGCTGCACGGGTCCCCTGAGCCCCCGGTCCGCTCCACACCAACAAGGGCGGCAAACACTCCAGGGAAGAAATCGCTGGTTCCCGGGCAGGCCAGCTTGGCCCAGCCACACCCCACACGTCCCTGATGGTGGCTGAACCAGGGCTGCTGGGAAAGGCTGCCACATCGCCTCCAGCCGGTTTCCCGGGATGCTGAGATGCAGAGTGGAGCGGGCAGGAGTTCCGGGTCACTGGGCACAGCAGTGACGCAGTCCTGTCCGTCAGCCCCGAGGAGCCCGCTGATGTGCAGTGCATCTGAGTAGAGCAGCGATAAAGGGCGCAAGGACGTGGTCTCCCCTGTCACGCTGCTCCTGGTCACTCAGGCCCGGCCTTTAGCTCAAGGGCATCTTGTCAACTGTTCAGGCATGAAAAGCTCAGACGTGCCGTGTAAATATTTACTGCCCGGGCCTTTCCAGGATGGAGAAGGCAGGTCACCACACTCAGACTAATCCAACAAACAATTAAATCGTGGGCTTTCAAATGCCACTTGCGGCAGCTGAAGGAAAGCTCAGATGGTAACAAACAGCCGCCTGGCCTTGGCCCTGGCCAGGACGTTATGGCCACGGGGACCTCTGCCAGACATGCCAGCTCCCATGCTGCCTGGGTTCCAGACACACACAGGCCTGCGTCACCACCAAACGCCCCCCTGGCCTTTCTCTCTCCGCCCACCGTCCTAGCTTTCCTTCCCACCTTCTTTCTCAGAGCACAGCCTCCTCTGCTCTTTCAGACAATTCCCGAACTTTTTTTTTGTCCATTCTTTCTGGAAGGCACAGGAGCGCACTGTCAGAGCGGGAAGTCCTGGGGTTTCTACTGGAAGTGGTCAGGCACTTCTTGGCTGTGTGGCCTGAGGCAGGCTGTGGGCTTCTCTGGGCCCCACGCCCCTGATGACTCCTGCAAGGTGGAAAGTGGTATCTATTCTGAAAAGATGCAAAGCCTGTCAGCGAGGTGACCGTATGTCAGAGACGAGTTCAGTGGGGGCCACAGTCTTTCCATAACTGCATTCAGTGTTACTCAGAAGATGCCAAAAACTCAACGGGCAAGCCTGTGTGCAGAGCCGTTTGGGACATACTTGAAAACTGCAGGTTCGTAGGTTCAGAGCCCTGGAACATTTGAGTCCGGATGTCGACGTCCTGTGCATTTTACTTTAAGAAAATCTGTTTGAGAAGCTAAGAAGTATCCCTGGGGATCAGCGGGACCATCGGGGCTGACCACTGCCCACGTCGCTTCGGACTCCATGAGAAGTACATTTGAAAGATCGGTACCTTCAGCCCTAGATTGGGATTTTGGAGGAGGGAGCTTGTCTGGAGGCTGAACGTACAGATGTGTGTCCATCAGAAGTCACAGGCTGTACCTTGCAGGGCCCTTACTGAGCCAATGCCCCCGATTTCGTCACGCTCCCTCATGTTATTAATATAACTATGTAAGTTCATCAACACATTCCATAGAAATAACAAATAAAAGCTCTCAATAATTTTTAACTGCTCCCCCTCCGAAGGGAGAGTATAAAACCTGCCAGCGCCCAGGGCCATTCGGTTCAGGACACATCCTTTTCCCAGGGTCCGGAGGTGGGGGGGCGGCTTGTCCAGTGGGGTGCTCAGTGGTAACGGCTAGCATCCTCACTACGTGATGTCTCGGGTCCTTGAGGGCCACACGGAGCTATGAACACCTCACTGTCACACAGGACAAGCTCTGGGGCCCGAGAGCTGTGACAGTGGCCCTGTGGGGGTTCCCATCAGAGGGTATCCAGGCCGTTCCTGCACAGGCAGCCCTGCTGGGCATCTGTGGCTGCAGCAGGGACTGCCCCTGTGGGGCCATGCAGCCTGGGAAGAGGTCCTCCTCCCTTCTCCTCTACCGCCACCAGCTCCTGAGGGGAACAGGAGCATTAGCTGCCTTTTGAGCACGGTGGTCAGCCCCACGTGAAAACGGCACACCCGTCTCGGGGCTCCTGCCCCCTTGAAAGCACACAGCAGGGGTCACCTGCTTCAGGTCCTTTCTGTGCACACACTGACCCCTGTCTGAGTCCCAGTTACTCAGGCTTCCTGAGCGTGTACGCTTCGTCTGGAGAAGGAGGACGCTCACCGCTGAGCCCTCCTGGTGCACGTGGTTATGTGCACAGGGTCTGGACACTCGCTCAGAAGAGAAGGCCTATCGCTAGCCTCCCATATTAGCAAAGCTCCCAGACCCACTGCAAGGGGGCAGGGATGGAGGGTCAGTCCAGTTACAGACTCGGTCTGGAGTTGGAACAGCGCTCAGAAGCCACCCGGCCCGTGTCCCTTTAATTTTGGAGTGCCATTGCTGGGGCCACAAATTCTATGGCTGTTAGGGACCAGGCAGGTGAGCAGCCCAGCAGAAGACCACGCAGAGTGTGTGTTCTGCCCCAGGGGCATCAAACCCAATCATTTGCAAACATGATGCCGGAAAGAAAAAAGAGAGAAAGAAATGACGCTGGCAGCCCCAGTCCTGGCTGAGGGCCACGCGTGTGCCATGTGCTCTGCAGGACACATCACAGGTTCCGGCCCAGACTGTCCCTGGACCCGTCAGGGTAGCTGGGAAATGTGTGCACGGGCCAGCAGTGTGGCGAGCCCCCTCACGCCCCTCAGGACCTAGTCTGGGCTGACCTCCCACCCGGCTGAGGGCGTGCATGGCTCCCTCCGGTCAGTGTGGTCCAGGACGCACTCCCGCCATGCCTCCCTCACCCCACTGCTGTCTCAGGCCCAGTGGCTCCCCTACAGGCGGGCGTCACTCCTCCACCTCCCTGTCACCCCCACACAGATGCTCACAAGCAGCCCCTCGTCCATCACCTTTCTCAGCCTGGCGGCCCCTGTGCCGGAGCGGATGGCGTCCATCAAGGCCTGCCTGGCGTCCACCGGGTTGCCGAGGGGGCCTGAGCTGGACCTGGGTGCCGTCCTGGACGTGGAGGGAGCTGGGGCAGCCGGCGGGGCTGGGGCCGGCAGGGCGGGCGGGGGCTGACTGCCGGGGTCTTCCAGCCCCACGGGTCCCGACCCGGGTGCAGCCCTTGCAGCATCCCGGAAGCTCCTCAGTTCCTCAGAGGCGGAGGACGTCACCTGGCAAAGACGCGGTTAAATTACGACATCCCCCAGGTCCTCTCCGAGGGCAGTGCATGGCTGCCTTAGCCTGCAGCCGGCCCGGAGGTGTGTCTGCCCGTTGTCCCCTTGCTCTCCCAGCTCCAGCGACTGGTGGCAGGGAGCAAGGTGGCACCCGTGCCTCGCCGAGGGCTCCCTGTGGCCCTGCTTGTGCTGGCCTGTGAGGACCAGCCTGGAGGCTGATTATTGGGGAGGGCCCACATTCCATGCTCTGTACGTGTGCCTGTCACGCCCGCTGTTCCTGGGATCCTGGGTGTGGGGGCGGGATGACACCCTCTCACCCCTACACTCAAGTCCACATTGGCTGTTGAGGTCAGCTCAGGACTGTGGCAGGTGTTACCTCCAGAGCGATCTAAGTCCCAAAGCCATGCTGGGCGCCCCGGGAACTTACTCTGTGCTGGGCTGGCAGGTAGGAAAGGTGGGGGAGCCTCTGGGTGCTCTTGCCTGGCCCATGCAGCGGCCGCCCCTCAGCGCCAGTCTGAGTGGTGGCTGGGGGGTGGGCTGCTCGGATGATGGCCCCATCAGCCTAGGTTGGCTTGCGTGGTGCAGCCCCCGCCAGGGCCCTGGAAGCTACGCGGGCCTTTCACCTTACCTTGCGCAGGCTGCTGGCGCCACGGTGCCCTCGGATGGCTGCCAGCAGGGCCGAGTGCTCGCTCTCTGCCTCCGTGTAGGATGGCTTCTTCAGGCCCCGCTCCGGGCTGTGCTCTGAAGTCTAGGGCATGAACAGTGTCAACACATGTCACTCAGGAGAGGGAGAAATGCCAACTGAGCGGCAGCACAAAGGAAACGCGAGGCCCGGCAGCTGAGTCGTAGGGATCAGCCTTACAGTCCCTGTGTCAGCAGGCTGAGCTGCTGCGGTGGCCTGACGTGACACGATAATCACAGGTTATGTATCTGGCGTAGCATCAGCGATGGCCTTGTCTCTCCTGGCTTTCAGAGCTGACACGTGCTGTTAGGGCCTGCAGACGCGGATGGGAATCCTGGGTCCCCACCGGCTGGCAGGGTGACCTGGGCGCTCCATTTCCTCACCTGCGAGACGCAGGAAGCACTTCCGGTCCACACGTGGGGCCTCAGCAGGCTGCCCAGTGCGTCAGTCTTAATGGCGCCCGTTGGGAGCGATATCCTGTCATAACACCTTGTCTCTGATTTTGGAGGGACAGTTTTATGTGGGGTAGCAATTAAATGAGATGTCTGCAATGTGTCGAATGCTTAGAGAACAGGGCAGGGTGCCCTAAATACCTCCCACTGTTACTAAAGAATGTCGGGCAGGCGTGGCCCTGGCCAGACTGTCCATCTGCTCCCTCCACTGTTCAAGGGCCAGTGTGGGTGACGCGCCCACCTCTCCACCCCCGACTGTTTACTGTGATGCCTTTGCCTGGGGTCGTCAGGGCCTGAAGGCAGTGACGGGCCCAAACCTACTGGTTTTCTGTCCTGGTGGTTCTGCTCAGGTACTCCGTGGGCAGTAAGACAGAAACCTGGTTAAAACTAACCCATGTGGGGTCGGCCGAGTGGCACGATGGTTAAGAGCTGGCTTGGGACGCCAGAAGACCCCGGTTCAGATCCCACATATGAGGGCCAGTGACACTGCCCTCTACAGCTAAGATGCTGAACAACAGCTCAACCTGGAGCTGGGCTGCCGTGAGTCGCTGGCGACGGCATAGGCTGCAGCCCCTGTGGCAGTGGGTTGCCATGGGCTACCATGTGTAGCCAGCAGCCAGCGTGAGCGGCCAGCAGCCGCAGTGAGCGGCCGTCCAGAAGCTGGAGACTGATCTGCCTCTCCCGGGAAGAGTGCAATGATGGTGCCAACTTGGGCCAGTGAAGCAACATCCTCCACAACTAGACTGAAGAACAAAACAACAGCAACTTGTCTGTTCCACTTCCCCCAATTCCCCAATAAAAATCTTTAAAAAAAAACTAACCCGTGTGCTCCCCCTCCGTGTCCTCGCCGTCCCCACCCCACCCCAGTGCCATCTGAGGGCCGCGGCCCGAGCACTGAGGCCGACAGGCGCCCTGCAGGTAGGTGCCTGCGTGCTCACCTTGCGCAGTTTGTCCTTGCCGCCTGCCGAGTGGATGGCCTCCATCAGGGCGCTGTGAAGGGAGGTGTCTTTGGGTGCTGGCCTCTGGACAACAGGTCTGAATTTTTTCTTTGGCCCGAAGATGCTGGGTGGCGGTGTAATGTCGGGGTCATGTATATCTGTGCATAACACACTGGCCTTTTCCTCCTGCTCTGGGATGGTGTGGCTATTCACGCCAGACGCTCTTGCAGAGTGAGGGGGCTCGCTCTGGATGGGCACCCACCTGGAGCCATTCACCAGGTCCCTGCCAGGAGCCTGGTCAGCACCCGAGCGAGGGAGCGGGGGGCTTGCGCTGCCCGGCTGGCCTGTGGGGTCAGATGCTGAGCTGGTCCTGTGGTGACCTGCGCTTTGCTTTCCACCGAAACCGCAGCTCTGCCCCACGGAAACATGATCCCTGTGGGAAGCTGTGGCTTTGTGGGTGCCCGCAGGGCAGTCCTGAGTGGACAGCTTTCCATGGGGGCTGCCGACCTGCACTCTGGGATGGGCTCCTACTGCAGAGTCTCCCCCGTTGGTGCTGGGACGGGGACCACAGGGCGACCTTGTCTCATCTTTACCTAAGTGTGGCTCTGGGCAGGGGCTGGGGGCGGCGCCGCCTTTCGCAGCGGGAGGCCGCCCGGTCAGCTCTGGCGCTCTGCCCGCCTGGGTCTGCCCGGCAGCAACGTGCTTCCTCGCCGCGTCGACGTGGGCGCTCGGGGGCCCGATCCGCTTGGCAATGGCAGAGGCCACGTACTGACTGGATGTTCTTCGCTGAGGCTTGAGAAACAGGGCTTGTGCAGTATTAGCTGCTGGCACTTTCATGTGACGAGTGGCTGCTGTGGGTGGCCGGCTCTCCCCCTCACCCAGGTGTCTCCCATCGTCCTCGTGGGTGGACTGCTGCTGGGATGATGTCACTTTGGGGTCCAGGGAGGTGGGCTCTGCTGCTCGGAGCCCGCTTTCGTGACGCAGCGGCTTCGCTGGCATGACGGCAGTGGGGGTGACCAGCCTCTTGGCTGAGACCTCTGAGGGACGGCCAGGGTGTTTCTCCAGAGAGTCAGACCTCAGGGATTCTTTGACTTTTCCAATGGGCTGCGCTTCTTTACCCTGAGCAGGGGACGACAGGGCAGGGGTCCTGCCCCCATTCACGTGGGGGCTCACCAGGTTCCCCAGCTCGTCAATCTTAATGGCGCCCGTCGACAGCGATACCCCTCTGTTGTAACACCTCATCTCTGATTTCGGAGGGATGATTTTGTAGGTCGTGAGGCCGTACTTAGGTCCGAAACCTCCCCCTGGGTTTTGGCCTCGCTGATGCCACGATAGTGGTGCCGAGACGTCTTTCTTCTCGTCGCCTCCTTTCTCCATCGGCGGAGACATCGCTCTCCTGACGGCCTGTGTCGTCCCAGCGGGAGCAGGGCTGCGTTCCTTGTCTCTGTCCTGTGCGTTTAGGTCACGTGAGTGCAGCTCTGACGCAGCCATCACCCTGGGCTCCACGCCCACAGAAGCCACGTCTTGACTGGTGTGGCGCAAGGCCACCCTGGCTTCTGTCCCAGCGTCCTGGGCAGGGGCGGGTGAGGCCGGCGCGTCCGCCCTCTTCCTCCCACGCTGCTGGCTGGGCCCAGCCTGGGCGGGCGGCACACAGGACAGCCTGGTGACTGGACGCCCCCTGTCGAAAGAGCCAGCGTTGTTGTTTCTGTTGGAAAACAACGCCGACTCCACAGGGTCGTCCAAAACCTCCCCGATGAACGTCACTGGGATCAGGTCCGAGTCACTCTCGGCCACGATGGCCCCTCGCACGTAGGGACTAGACACACCGTTGATGGAGCTGGTTAGAGAGCTGGTGTCACTTTCGTAACTCTCTTCCATTTCTGCAAAGAAGTGCAAACACCAGTTACAGACGCGCACGGCGCGCGACTGGAGGACGCCTGGGCCTGGTACTCACGGCGATCACACGGGCCTGTGATTCCCCTGAGGCTCCTGGTGTGTGACTTATTTGCACACATTTTGAAGTGTCATTTTGGTTTGTAATCTACATGGGTCTGGGCCTGAGGCATGGCTTTCCTTACTCAGCACGGGAGCAGCTGGCGGGTCCCCGATGTCTCAGGATGAGGTGTGTAGACACCACACTTTGCCAACGTCCTTCCCTTGAAAATAGATCCCTGAACTCGAGCCCCTTGGAAATACTGTGTCCTCGTACAGAACACAGACATGGGTTTGAGTGTGACCTTCACTTTGCTCTTCACCAGAAGCCCCACAGGACATGTGGACGCCTGCCCTCAGGTTTACTGAGACCATTCGCATCAGCCCTGGCCCTACAGTGTTACACCCCGAAACGCACCCGCAGAACGGCAGGCACGAGGAGCTGCATTACGAAAGGCCCCTGCATGTGCCCCCGAGAGACGGAAAGGGCTAGAAGTCGTAATAAAGAAACCTGTGTGTCTGTGTGTCACCGGGGTTTTCCTAACTAATTTGGGTACTGGAGAGCTGTTTTTCTTCTTTTCAATACGTGTGCAAGGCGTTTTGACGTATAACATCAGCATTGCTCAGAGCAGGCTTTGGGCAGCTGCGCAGACATCTGCACGGCGCGCTCGGCCGCCCGAGGAGAAGCCGTGTGCGGAGCTGCGCTCACCCGCGTGCTTGTCCCACGTGTCCAGGCTTTCCGTGAACAGATCTGCTCTTCCCCGTGCACACCCCTGTGGGGTTGTTCACGCAGTGTGGTCGCTGCCACACAGTAGGACGTCGCAGTGTGCAGGAGTAGCTCTTACCTTCCAGGTCGCCGTCAAGCTCGGCCAGGGTTTGCTGGAACTGCCCAGTAATGAACAGGTCCCTGTCATCATTGGAGGCCACTGCAGCTCTCTCAGTTCTAGGGAAGACCAAAGCGAAAGCAAGCTCACTCTCTCATTCCTCTTGTTCCTTATTTGATTTATTCCTTTCTAGAAATATTTGAGGAGGGTACAAGCCATATTCACACTCATGGTGTTCTGTACTCACTGGATCAGTCGTCCTTGGAGCTGCGGAGACACAGATGGCTGTGGTGTGTGCGTGTGCGTGTGCGTGTGTGTGTGTGTGTGCGGTGTGTGTGTGTGTGTGTGTATGTCTGTGTGTGTGTGTGTGGTGTGGTACATGTTTGTGTGTGTGGGGTGTGTGTGTGTGGAGTGTATATAACGTGAGTGATAAAACAACCTTTTAAACGGGCAAAATTTTAAATAATCCTTTGGTCCTCTAATGACCAATAATTCTTTTCTGCAAAGTACATTAGCTATTTGTTTACAACTTTGTTACGAGTGCTTAACAGTCCCAGGGTGTAGCTATGAGCCTGACAACCATAAACCAGGTGGCTGTGGCCTGAGTGCCAGCCCTTTACTACCTTCCTCCTGCCTGGGCAGGGGGACAAAACTCCTCAGTAGCCCAGCCCCAGGGGCCCAGGGCAGCTGAGCTGGTCCTCCGCCTCTCCAGGCCAAGCCTCGTCACTGAGGTCCCCTCCCACCTGGCTCTCCTTCCGGCCCCGCCCCTTCCCACCATCAGCCTCACCCACACCTCACAGGTTGGGCCAGATGCTTAGCTTCAGGCTCTACGGGCGCACCCCCCATTCCACCCCTGGCTTGGCCTGCTTCCTTGGGGCCCGGCTTGGCCAGAGGGGGAGAGTGGACCCGTGAAATGAGCCACCAGCCAGAGAGGGGGGTGGATCTGCCAAGCCAGCCCGTCCAGGGCTGCTGTCTCTCAGGAGCCCAGTCCTGTCTGGGAGGGGAGGGTGGGGCCTGCAGATCACCTGGTGCCCACAGGTGGCTCTTTCCTTGAGGCCATGTGGGGTCACAAGCTCTGGGCTGGGACTTCTGTGTAAATGTGGATTAACTGGCAAAACCCAAAGCCAACGGCAAGGTCTCTTGTTTCGCTTTCCAATATGAAACCTCAGGAGGGACAGACTTCGCCATATTTATTTCTCCTTCCTCGCCCCCGCCATCACTTGTCCCCAAGGGCTACTAATGGATTGTAACTCCTCTTCCTGGGCCTGGAGGGCAGCCTGCTGTGGGCTTAGCAGCAGCGCCCGCTCATATCCCCTGAAGAGCCCAGACTTGGCAGGAGGCGTCAGCCTCTGTTTAGCTTAAAGTGGCCGTGCACAGATGCGTCACTCCCCAGCCCAACACACACCCAGTCTTCAGATATGTTCCTTATTGACAGTTGGTTGTGGCTTAAGGCCAAGAAAATAAAGAGCAAACATAGTGCAGACACACAGATACCGGGGCTGCACATGTTGAATAAACATTGCCAGCAGCATTTTGTCACACGAGGTGGCTCTGCAGAGAACACGATGATGGTTAGGCCACGGCTGCATCACATATGAGGGACAAAGGACAGCAGTGACAAGTTTCAAACAGAGCCTGTCCAGGAAGTGGACCTGCCTGGTGGGGTGGGGGCAGCAGGGCGGGTGTCCCCAGAGGGTGCAGGCCTGATGACCTACCACTCACTCGGGAACCAGAACTAGGGGCAGTCGGGGCAAATCAGTGCCCAGAAAAAGAGGTGATCTTTGTGTTGTTGTTGTTTTCATTTTATATGAGAAAGACAAGAAGAGCATGGGCTGATTACAACCCGTTCTAGCACATTCGGCCATTTTTCTATTTGACGTGGCCAGAAGAGTTTCTTGAAATCATTTATGCAATGGCAGGATTACCATATTCCCCCATGTATAAGACGCACCCTTTTCTCGAAAAATTTGGGGTCTAAAAACTGGGTGCGCCTTACATAGTGGTTATAGTTTTTTTTACTTGCATTTCCCGCTTTTTTCATGCTTGTTTTTGTGCTCATACAACCACTGTGTAAGACGCACCCAGTTTTTAGACCCCAAATTTTTTGAAAAAAAGGTGTGTCTTATACATGGGGAAATACAGTATTAAAAAAAAAAAAGGTGTCCCTTTCTGGTAGAATTCAATTTCCTGGTGACAACCAGAGCAGCCCATAAGATTTCAAAAAATTTACTTGATAAACTAAATGCAAGAAACCTGGGAAACTACACAGCTGGTGACAGTCATCTAGGCTTAACTTCTCCATTCCATTAACAAATATTCCTGTATTTACAAAGCTTCAGGATTCTAGAATGATGGTGCCCATTACACACGGTAAAAATAAGTAGGTCAGATTAATTTTAATTAGATACCTTATTTAACTTTATTTAACTTTAATTAGTAGACTTAACTAATTAGTATACTTAACCCAATATTTAACCCAAATTATTTTCATCATTTCTACATGTAATTAATATTAAAATTACTTTTTTCAGACCAAATTTGGAGCATGTTTTATCCTCAGAGCACCTCTAACTTAGGGCCAGCCCCTTGGCAAGTGCTCCGCAGCCAAATGTGGCCACTATACAAACTGCTTAGTGCTTCAAGGTCTTCCATGTTTTTAAAATGCTCCTTTGTAAATGGAGTTACAAAGCTTCAGGGTTTTAGGTGTTTAAATGTGTCTAAATGTTCCTGCAGCCACAAAGTCCCTGTAATTACAAATTCCGAGGTTCCAGAAAGTATTAAATGTTTCTAAATGCTCCCTGGGTCCAAAGTTCCTACAGTTACAAAGTTCCAGGGTTCTGGATGGTGTAGCTTGTTTCTAAATGCGCCCCGGGGCACAGGTCCTGTGACAAAACTCCAGGGCTCCAGAGGTTGGTGCGATCTACTGGAAAGCTTGGGCTGAGCCCTTTTCCGGCCCCTCCACCTGTGACCTGTGCCTTCTCAGGTCCATAAAATTACGTGGCACCATAAACCCTGCAGGTAACAGCACAGTTTCTCGCTTCTCCAGCCACCATGTCCACTGCTCACTGACAAGCAGGGTTGAGAAGGAACTTTGGGGGTTGCCAGGTGGAGGAGGGGAGGGCAGATGGCAATTCATGGAGGTGCCCTTCACCTCCTGTGTCCTGGGGCTCTGAGCATGATTTCAAGGTGGCCCCACTGCTCAAAAAAGAGAGCCTGAACCCACAGACCAGCCTCTGTTATACGTCCCCTACAGCATTCCTGCAGAGCTGATGTTCGTTAAGGGCCCCCAGACTGAGTGCACAGTGTTTACCCACTGATGGGTGAGCTGCCTGACTGCAGCGAGATTGCCTTTGGATTCAGGGTATAGGAATCGTGCAAGTTCCACTGTCACTTCCCCCCAGGAGGTAGGCGGCAACGGAGCTCTGTTTCTCTCCCCCGTCCATTTCCAGACAGACATGTATGTGTGTGTATCTATGTACATATGTGTCTATATAGTTCCTTTTCAAACAAAGGTGCTATAAATAGTTCAAAGAGGCAGATGATCAGAGGTGGATATGGATTAGAAGGATTGCCCAACAATCTGTACCCTTCCACAGGCAGCTGTAAGTAACAACATCGACAGCAGTAATAATAACAGCAGGTATCATTTTCTGGAAGCAGGAAATATGCCAGGCTCTATTCTAAGCAGGAGGTGCTGCATATCTTGATTGTACTGACAAGGACACTGGAGTGAGAGGTCAAGTCGCTGACCCAAGGGCATGCAGTCACCAGCAGTGGGCAGATATGACCCCAGGCAGTCTGACCACGAACTTCTTACTCAACGGGCCTGGGAATAGCCCTGTGAGCAAATGCACATATTGGTGAGAAGCCGCTGCCCAGGGCAGAGACACACAGGGGTCCCTGCGGTGAGGAGCCCGTCACCACCTGCCATCTCTCCTGCTGCTGTGCTTTTGGGCTGAATTCCTCCTCAAGAAGCTTATTTACTTGAGGCACTAAGTGTGTATGTGGGGGTGACTCTGGGGATTGGATGTCCCACTTAGAGGGTCAAGACTGAGCTGAGGGCATAGATTTATAATTATAATTGATTATAAATCTTATAATCAGATTTATATATATAAATCTCAATTTATAATGAGAAATTATAATTGGATCCAGTCAAAGGCTTGATGGAAAATCTGTCATTTTCAGATCACAGCACACACAACGTATTCCAGTCATTACCAAGCATTCAGCTTTGCTATCTTTGGAAAACCAGTATTTATTCTTGAGACTCTTCAGTTCCAAATCTTGGCTCCCAGGGCCCTAGATGGAGCCCGGCCAACACTGCCAGTGATGGAAAGAGGGGCCTTTAAGTCAAGTGCCTGGGACAGGGGCCGGGACCTTGGCCAGCGGGCTGACCAGGTGAAGAAGGCACTGTCAGCCAAGTGGAGGCTCTGGAGGAAGCAGCACTTGCCTTCAATTTGTCAGCATCAGGCCCAGGCCGTCTAGCCACAGAAGCCCACATGACTGCGCGGCCTGCAGGGTGCAGAGAAAGGGGAGACACCCAAGCAAATTGGAACTTAGCTCCGGAGACCTCTGGGTCTTCTCAAGTCACAAAGGGTCTGACTCTGTTCCCAACAGTACTCAGGGAACACCTGAGGGGCAGCAGAGTGGTGACAGCATAGGGCGCTCTGGCAATGTTGAAAACCACGAACACCCCGTATCTGACTGGGGGCTGGCTGTGTTGTGGAGTTTCTGCAAGCTGAGGACGTTGGGGACAGCTTCACAGCCTCTCAGAACCCACTCCCGCCTCAAGAGGCCCAGCTTTACCAGTCATGCAAAGGGTCACTTCGGTTTTGCCCAAGTCTCTGAGGCCTGGCATTCGGGTGTGTGTGTGGGGGGGACAGGTCATCTCACTGTCACCGCCAGGCCCTGGATTGTCACAATTTGCCACGCAGGAAGAATGTGTCTTCTGGGGACATAATGGCTGTTTTAGGATTAGCTGCAGAAAGTCGGTATCAGAATCATGAAGGCAGAGCCAGGAGGCCGGGACCCAGGACCAACGGTGGGCGCTGAGAACAGTGATACGTCCCCTCAAGTGGCCTTGGAAAGGTGGCCTTGGCACACGCATTTCAGGCGCACATGAAGAGACGCAGTGCAGGTTGGGTGGGCACACTGTGGCAGGCCTTTGTCCGCTGCTATCCTCCCCTGGGAGTGTGGGATGCCAGGAAAGAAAAGGGTTCTTCGTCGCTGCTTCTCGCCACTGCTGCTGCACAGGTGTTCCCGGGCTGTGTTCTGATACAGGTCTCCTGTCTGGGGGCCAGGGTGAGCCCACACCTCTGTGAGCGGCGGTGAGTTCTGCTCCCACACAATTTCAGCTTGATTCTGGGCTGCCCACCCCTTAGCACGGGTCTCTGTCCTTGACCGCTGGCCAGTCTGCACACTTGCAGCTGGCCGGCTTCGAGGCTCGCCTGAGCTCTGCAGACTTGCGCTCCGGCCCAGTGCTGGACAGCTCCCGCAGGCTGGCCCGGCCCCAGCCTCGGCCCCAGTCTGCCCCCTCCAGGCCTCTCAGCTTTCTGCTGCAGGGCTCTCAGCACCGCGTGCTGTGGACAGGACCACACAGCTCGAGTCTGGAATGCACTATGTTCGACAGAGCGGTGTTCTTTCTCCACATAACTGAGGTGTGCACTAGTAAATGCTTTAAGTGTGACAGTGTGGCAGGGTGTGACATACACAGACCAGCACTTCCCAAATTGCGCTTCACGGAGCATCATGCAGACGTGAGAGGTGCTCCACAGAAGGACACGCAGCAGGCTTCTTTGCTGCAGACTTGGAGAGTATTTCACTAAGAGGAAGACAGCATGGCCTCCCAATTTACTTGTGAGAGGTATTTTCAAGAGGTCTATGGAGGGACCACCTGAGCAACTGCAGCCGAGTCCACTCCACAGCTGGACAATCAGAGAGCGGAGGGGGCAGGGCCAGGCCTGCAACACTGTGTGCACGGCTGGAGCAGGCGGCACCCGGCACACATATGTATGTAGGTGGCCCTGAATATCTGAATTGAACGGCAACACTGAAAATTGGGGAGGCCGGACATAAAAATCTAGATTTCTGGCTTCTCTTCAGAACCGGCCCCACTGGGTCTGCCTCGCTCAAGGCCAAAGCTGGAGGCTGGCGTGGGGCGGGCTCTTTAGGGAAAATGGGCACTTCCCAGCAAGCTCTGGGGCCTCCGAATTTGCGACCCCTGCTTCACACTATAGGCCCTTACTGAAAATCATTCATTTGGACGTATTGGGCCGTCGGGACGAACATCCTGATGTACTTTTCTACGGTTTTCAATGCAAAAATGCATCATGACTTTGCCGACAACCCCATGATATGTGTTGTGCCTTGCTGACATCTCTGGCTATGTCTAGTTTGTCAGTGGAGAACACTCCTGTAAAAAATACTATGTCACTCCATGAAAAACCATGGCAGAGAGTCGATCCCAACTCTGGGGCAAACAGTGGAACAGCACAGACAGGGCTGGGGGCTCAGAGGTCATCTTCAACCCCATTTGACAGCCGAGCTGACCCAGAGGAGGAAAGTGACCAGCCGCAAACACCCTGGTGCACGGTTTCCTAAACTCACGGCAGTGATTGACAACGGATGCTACTCTGCAGCTATGGGACGCACACTGTGCCACGTGCTCTGGGCGCTCACAGGCTCAGCAAATCTCTGAAAGGTTAGCGGCGTGGCCTGTACACTCATAAGCAAAATGAAAGGCTTGACGGTTAGGTGGGCTCTCCAGGGCCAGGCAACTAGTGAGTGGTGGTGGGACTCCACTATGGGCCTGTCCAGCTCCAGAGCCTCCTCCGTCCCCCTGTGCTCCCCAAATTCAGTGGCACCCCAGAGATGAGGCCAGAAAAACATGCCGTGTCCCTGTGTGCATAAAGCGTCAGCTTCCAAACGCTCCATCACTATCTGGGCTGCGGCCACAGATGACATGAACTATCGCAGTTGGACTAACATCAGCATGATTTGATATCAGGGACAATACCCGCAAAGCAACTGTGACCGACATGGCGTCCCCAGGGCTCAGAGTTACAAACCTGTGCTTAGTTTCAGACATGGAGCCTGGTGACTGCAATCCTCATGAAAACAAACAGAACATACCTGGAGGTTACTGCAGACAGGGAGTTTTTCCTTATGTTAAATGGACTGAGAAGGAAATACCCCAGGTTCTCTCAGCTCTCATAGATGCAAACAGCACAGGCCAACCTCAGCTAAATGCCATCTCGTGTGGGGCAGAGAAGGAATGGACAGATTGCCCCCGTCTAAGTTCCTGTCTGATAAAATGTGAACTTGTCCTTGAAATTGTCCTTAAGATTGAGAAGCTATACATTGAAACTATTAGAGTGTACTTAACAAATGGGGAAATGCTCTTGGTAAACTGTTAGGTAAAAATAAATCGAAATAAAATATTATTGACGCTATAATGCCATTATCCAGATGAAGATCTGCATGTCCATGTGGACAAAGTTAGAACAAAACATGAAAAATGCAAAAGCGTTTATTCATTTTAATGACTGACTTATGAATTATGTTTTTATTATTCTACTTTATTTCTATTCCTGTTCGATAACATTGTTTATTGTTTGTGTGAATAATTTTTAAAATTATCTAAAAGGTTAAAAGAAAACTACTGATGGGTTACAAAGAACTAACCTGCTTTTCTATATGAGAATAAGGAAAGGAGTTAGGACACTGTGGTATTGGCCCAATGGCATAAACAAGCCAGCACTACGGAAAAGAGCCCTGGAAACTTCATATATGACCAAAGTGGAACGAGGAGTCTGTGCGAAAAAACAGACTTCCTCTTCACACCCCAGCCCCATATAAGCCCCAGGTAAATGAGAAACCTAAATGTGAGAAAGCCACACTAAATTTAGCAGGAAACTCAGACAACCTTCTGTCTCTTAAGGTGTAGGAAGGGTCTCTTAAATGTGCAAAGATCATATGTATTCAGGACAGAAGATGGATTCAACAACATCAAAAAGCAATTTTCATACAACAGCAACAATAAAAACCCAGCTAAATTCAAGCCATTTGTCTGTAGAAATCACTGACAAAGGAGACATTGATGATGTTATTTTTTTTTAAAAAAGTAACATTGCAGTTTTTTTTTAAATGGTCAAAGCTTAGCAAAAGGCAATTCAGAGAAAAGGAAAATCCCATTGTTAATGCCCATATGAAAAGATGCTCATCCTTATTAATCAGAGAATTGTACATTAAAGCCACACAAAATGCCACTTGACACCTACGTGACCACCAAGCTCAAGGTGCCGACGGACCCCACGTGCTGGTGTAGATGTGGAGTGCCAGGTCATTACTGACCCCTCAGGGCGTGGAAACAGACCATATTTGTCAATATTGCATAAAGTTGAAGGGTTTTCCTGAAGCTCTAATAATTTCTCTTCTAGAAATCTCTCTGTATAAACAGACATGTGTACCGTTTCCTCATGGCGTCCAGCGGTGGAAAATCTGAACGACCGAAGTGTCCATTAATTAAAAAATGAAAAAGAATCAATGCACTAATGACACATGTCTCATCAGGGATAAATCTTAAACACAGGTTGCTGAGCAAAAACGTACACGGTGAGCATGGTGCCATTTATAAAAGGGTCAGAACAAACGACATTGTCATGAATTATGTATAAACACCTGAACATCTAGAAAAGAGCATGGAGACGTGATCACAGATAGCAAACCCCCAGATCAGGAGTGGTGACCCTGAGGAGGGCGCCTGGCCGGCAGCAGACTCCTAAGGCGTATTTGTTTGGTCGCCGTGACAGATGACCGCCCCTCCAGACCAGGATGGGCCCTCCCCCCAGCTGTCCTATGACTCACCTCAGATGCCAGTTCCCAGGGCCATTCCTCTCCCACGAGGGGCTCTTCTGGGGACCCAGTTCCGGGGTTCCAGCTAGGTCCTGGTCACTGCAGTCCTCCTGGTCTGTGGCCCACTTGTCTTTGGATTTGGTGCTGTCGTGTTGGGAATCCAGGGAGACGATGTCTGAGGGGGAGCTCATGACCCCCGAGTCCTCAGTCGTGTCTTCAGATGCAAAACAGCTGCCGACAGACACAGTCTCCTCGGCCTCTGAGGGCACCAGGGGGGCCCCGTCCGTGCCGCAGGGGCTGCCGAGCCCCAGGGGCAGGCTCACTGCACAAAACACGGCAAGCACAGGTCAGCCAACACCTCAGTTTCTACACCACCCAACCAGGGCACCCCAATCTGCTCGACACATCGGGAATTTGGAGTTTAGGGTGCCAGGGCTCAAGGCATTCACACACAGCTTCCTCCAGAAACATTTCAGCTTGGGGGAGCCACAGGTGCGCGTGGGGCTGAGAGCGAGGTCTGCCCTCAACACGCAGCATGTCCCGAATCAGCCTGTGGGATTTGGGTCCCGTCTGTGATTCCAGGCAGACACAGTCAAAGATTCAGAAATGACACGGTGGGTGCGATGGTTTCCAGGCTGACCCTGGGTTCAACCGAAGTTGCTTTAAAACGAGTTCTTTTAAAAAGTAGGGGTTTAAAAAATATACACAAACTTAGACATAAGACTGTTGGGGAGCTTGTGACAAATATTCCACAGGCACATTTGAAATGTGGCCTGAAATACGAATGGCACTCTGTCAGCATCTGGCTCTCCCTTCATCTTTATACGTGACAGTCAGTTTTGGTTTAGATACGAGAGAATCTTGGGAGAGAATCTTGCAGTAGAATTGGAAAGAATTGGAACAACAGTCTCCTCGGCCAAGGTTACGTGGCCCCTGAGCACTAAATGGCTTACTGCAGCAGAAGCCACGCCACGCACTGAGGGGCAGCTTGTTACTAAAGTCCCCTGCTCCTTCCCACGTCACTGCTGTCGAAGGGGACGCTGCAGCCCTGGGCATATGCAAAGAGCTGTTTGGAAACACGCTAAGTGTAAGAAGAGTGAGGCTGCTGTTTCCTTTCTTACTGAACGCCTAGGGCTTTTAAGACCTCTACCTGCAGAAGAGGCCTCTTCCTAGCACGGGAGCCGGAAGGGCAGTTGTATACAACTCTGAGGCAGCTGTATACCAGGGTTGTTATTTTTAAAAATTTAATGTCGAAATTGATTTTAAACTTCATGGCACCTGAAGACATATGATCTCAGGGAGGCTGGTTATGGGAGTTGGGAAAGGTCAGTGCTGTGCGGTAGCTTCAGTGCACTTCACGGAAGATCCGTCCCTCCGACAAATGAATGGAAGCTTCAGCTGAGCGAAGGCCACCGCCACGCCGAGTGCACGCTCCCCGCGACCACGCGCCGCGAGCCCAGGGACATCGCCACGGCACCCACCGCCGTCATTTTAACAGGACAGCAGACTAGCGACACAGAATGAACAAAACCAAAAGAGCACCAAGGAGAGAATCCCTTCTGGTGTTGGTTTACTTGAGATCCCGAACAATGAAATAAACAAACGAACAGAAACTTTAAAGAACAGACATTTCACAAAAGAGCTCACAAGTGAAGGACAGAAGACAAAGGAGCGACTGTTCAGAGGCACAAATGCGCAGGCAGTGTCTCCCTGCCGGTGACTGGGTCCCTACAATGGCCTCTTTCTTCCCGTTTCCTTCCTGGTTTTTGTTGCAAGACTCTTAATTGGGGGCAAATGTGGAGAAGAAACACTGCCCATGAATTAACACAAGCAACCCTGTTCTGACAATGGTTTGCGGATCAGCTGTCACACCTGGGACGGTGGCCGGCCGCTCTGTCCACGCAGCCTGTGACTCAGCCCTGAGATGTCCTCTCACGGAAGCAGCCCTGCCCGCCAAACCCACTCAGAGCTGCTCTCTGCACTGCTGTCCACAGCGGCCCCCACGGCCGAGCAGACCCGTGTCCTGCCTTCGCTTTTGTCACCCTCACTGATCAAGGAGGTCAATTAAAGGAACGTTTTCTTCTATGTAACGGGAAAGCACGGAGGTCCCGGTCACAGGGACCCAGGTCTGAAGCCCGCAGAGCAGCTGGTGCCTGCCTGGGCCGGGCCGGCTGTCTGGACCCCTCTGGCTGTTTCGTCTTGGAGGTGAGGAGGTGCTCGGCCCTCAGGACGGTGGCGAGGACCCAATGGGCGCCAATCAGCAGTGTAGTTCCCGGCCGTGCCTCCATTGCTGGGTGGGTGCCAGGAAGGGCCCCATGACTGGACCTGGGGACACAGATTCCTAATCCAAGAGTCTCCACTCTGGTGACTCACAGTTCATGACGGGGCAGACTCATGCACAAAGGCCGACAATGCCATGCCATGTGGGAACGCCCACTCTGGGTGTCTGCACAGGTAGAGTGGGGCTGGCTGGTCAGAGGGAGGTGACAGCACACCGTCCAGCCCCGCTCTCCCTCTGACCCCGCCAGCAGCTCTCACTCAGGTGTGAAGCAGAACTCGCAGTTGCCCCTCCTGGAGACATCAGGACCCCCTGCAGCTGGGTTTTCCTGGCAGCCCCCCCTCCCCCCGTCCCCGCCCCTGTAGAATGTATCTGTGGCGAGGGGGAGTCCAAGCCCACCCCCCCCCTTTTTCAATCCAGTTCTGACACTGAGTCACTGGGCTGAATTGCTTTCTACTCCTCAGAAGTTTTGCAGCAAAAAAAAAAAAAGAAAGAAAGAGAGAAACCAGTTGAGTCACTGCTCTCGACTCAGCCAACTGCGAGCCCTAAGCCAGCGAGATGTGAGAAGTCTATATTCAGTGTGCACATATTAAACTACTAAAAACTGTACAGTCAGCAGAGCGACTGCCAGAGCTCCCCTCTTGCCCAGGTGAGTCCTCCATTTCCCATGGAGAGCCTTCCCGAGGGCCCAGGGGACACCGTCCTTGAACCCATCCGACAGGTGTTCAGTGAGGGCCCACCTGTGCACCTGTGCCAGGGCCAGGGAGCTGGCGATGGGCGGGAGCAGGTAAGGGAGCTCACCTGAGCGTTTTGAGGGCCGTCGTGGAGCGTGCCGGAGGGAGCAGGAACCAGGTGCAACCGCACCTGCCACAGGCAGTGGGGGCATGTGTGTGTGTGTGAGGGGGGGACAGGGCGGGGAGGACAGAGGTGATGCTGCACCCAGCTCAGAGCCCAGGCCGGGCGCTGCACGCCTGTAAGAGAGGGCAGCACGCGCAGCGGCTCAGGACTTCGTGGACAACGTCTGGGGTTTCCAGCTCCTGTGAGGCGCCCAGCCTGGCTGGTGCGTTTTCATCTTTCTGCCCTCAGCTCTGTCAGCCTGAGAGTCTTTTTCTTGGAACCAGACGTCCCCACGGCGCTCACCCTGCCCTCTCATGATCTTTTCTCCTGCTGGCTCCTTCCTGTTATTCACCCCATGAGCTGAGACATTTGGACAATTTCTGAATGAGCTCATGGTGCAGGGTCCTGGCTAGCTGCTCTGTGTGCCCCAGTTCCCACCCTCAGCCTGAGGGTTTCCATGCGGCCAGTGGGCTGCAGCGAGGGACTCCAGCGGACAGCCAGCAGCACCGGGGGACCGGGGACAGAAGGGAGAGCCCAGACCCCCCACATTCTGGCCCTTGTCTTCCTCTGAACTTCGAACAACCCCTTCCCTTTCAGTAAAAAAAGCAAGTTGGTTCTCATAAGCTTGCAAGTCCCTTCTAGATCTAGAAGTCTATCATTCTCTGGAATTCCAAATCAAAATGTAGGATGCAAACCTTCTTTTGACAATTGACTGGTGACTTAGTGGGAATCTTAAAAGGAACACAACACTGCTTTTATCCCTTCTGCTATTTTTGTTGGCCCTGAAAGTGTAACTCACTATTTTGAGTTAATGAATGCATTGGCACGTTGGCTCTTGCCTTAAGGTGTGAACGACCTCTTTGAACTAAAAAAGTTATTATTGCAAACGTGAAAAACGGTTAATTTGTCTTCAACAGAAGCCTAATATGAACTCATGATTAAATCCTCTTCCACATGAACAGCCACTGGGCCTGAGTTGGGGACAGTGACCCTTCCGCTGTCCTCTGCCTACACTACACGAGCCCACGGGTCAAATGCCACCACATGGAAAGGAGGTCTTTGGAAAATTCTCCAGCTAAAGTGGAAAGAAGGAAAAGCTAACTTCAGGCTAAGTCCTCAAATTGAACACACTCGTTCTCAGCTCAGTACTCGAGCTGCTGCATTTTTCTTTTACAAAGTCACCAAAGGAAATTCCAAATGCTAAATGTAAATATGCTCCCAGTACTTTTTGCAATAAAATTTTATTTTATTTTATTTTATTCTATTTTATTCTATTTTATTGAATGCAAATGAAAGATCTTATATCCTATGATGCTGCTTATCTGCTGGTCATTACAAAAGGAGGTTGGTCAAGAGTCAGTTTCACGGCATTTAAATAGCCCAAATGACCAAACTCATCCCCATCCCACCCCGATGCCTACGGTTTTCACATGCCACTCCCGGAAAACAAGAAATGCCCGTTCTGCATCTCAACCTGCCTGGGTTTAGCTCCCTGCCTGGGGAAAAAAGACAAGGAAAATAAGGTAGGTACAGGTAAAGCACTCCTGAATTCCTGGTGTAAACCGACATGATATATGTTAATAATATTTTTCATACACATTCCCCAAATAATTTTGAACAACTTTGTTTAACATTTTTAATTGACACCAGAAAATTTCCATCATGAGTTCCATTGGCTGCAATAGATGTAATTTCTACTGTATTGCAAATATGAATTTTTCAAATGTTTCATCTTTTAAAAAAAAGTAATAAAAGCAGCCTAAATGATAGTATTTTGATGCCCGGAACCCTCCACTTAAAAAGGAACGCAAGCTCTCCTTTTCACAGTTTTAGAGTGTGTCTCGTCTTTCTTGCATTTATTTCCATCCTATGACCCCACATAATCTCAGCTCATTGAATGTGCTTTCCACTGGAGAATTTTCTTACTGATCAAACCTCTTTGTATAAAATGCACATGTAAATTAGATTTTAATTCTTGTTTCCTTTCGCCATAAAATCGTAAATTCTTTTTCTCTACTGAGTAGTTATCCGTGATAATTAATAGGACACAGCCAATAAAAAGGCATATGTCTTTTAGGAATTTTGACATTTGTGAAACACAAAGGTAACGTATCCTTAGAAATGCATCTCAAACTGTGCTAAATAAGGCCTTTTCAACTGTTTCCTCAGAAGGGACTGGGTGACGTATTGCTGGAGCGAGGCCGGGC